GATGTTTCATTGATGTCGATGACACATTGCCGCCGCCGAAGAGGCGACGTTGCTGTAGAAACGCCGTTTTGACTGGTTTAGTTGCAGTTGCAACTTGCTGGTGCTGCCGCTTTTACTTATTTACCGCCTCTCGGCTGCTTTAGCTGCTGCCACTAAGCGATGATCGTGTCCATTAACTAATTATTTCAACTGTTGAACCGTTATTTACGGTTGTGCTTATCTAGCTGCGCTTATCGCTCTCGTAGGTGACGGAATCTGGTGTTAATAGAAAGAATGTGAGAGAGAGAACAAGAGAGAGAGAGAGAGAGCGGTTAACAAGAGCACTCGCAATTGCAAAAAAAAAAATAATAAAAACAAACAAAACTGCAAAGCAATTATTGACTTTTAGGGTTTCAATGCAAGTGGCACGAAGGGAGGGAGGATTAGGAGTACTCCGTTTTGTGTTTGTTTTTGTTTTTGCTTTTGCTGCTTGTGTGCACACATCCTGCTGACACCGTTTCCCACTGATTGAATACTGCATATTCAATGAGCGAGTGAGAAGAGGGGCTGAAAACTAACGGTGCTTGCAGGCAGCTGCTGCTGCCTCACCTTGACCTACACGAACACTGGGCCCCTAGAGAGATGCGCTTGCATTTGAAATGTGCATGACAAAACGAGACAGCAGACACACACACAACCACAGACACTTGCACACCCGGGCAGCTAATAGCAGCCAACATTAGCAATAAAAAAAAACTAAAAAAATCAAGAAAATATTTTAATTTGCACGAACATTGTTATTAACTATTTCCGTTGCGGTTTCACTTTGACTTGCGCACCAACAAAACAAAACGATGCACGAAAACGGGCACAACCGACCCGCGGCAAGTTTAAGACAGTGTGACCACGTGAATATCGATTAAATATACAAGTCAAGCCCACAGGCATATACCGAAATATACCTCTTCATTATAAAATATACTTAAAAATACCGTAGTCTTAAATCATAATCCTCGATTTTGATGTTCTATTTGATATAACTTGCTTGCAATGACGTTTAACACTGAAACATTAATATAATCCGATTGAGGAATCAATTTGGCTTAAAATATTTACTTATTTATATTGAATTGTATACCTAATTATTTATTTAAATCACCGTTGCTAGAAGCAAGGGAGCTTTGTGTTGCTAAATCAGTGTTGGTAGCTGTCTGCGCAGTACCATCGGTCGAAGAGCGTTCGCACTATTTGAGGCAAAACGAGATTCACCAACACTCGTGCGAATCGCCTAGTCATTTCATTATTAGTCAAATTAGACTCCAGAGATCGTAACAGAAGGCGACAGACGACAGAAGGATTTACAAAATAAATTGTTTTGATGCTCTCAGCGGAGACATGGCTTCATCTTAATTGCTTGTCGTGCCGCTTGGCGGGTCCCTTCAAGCGTTTGGGACGTTTTGATTGAGCGTCTCAATCGCTTGCAAGGACCGGCCGGACAGCATGAAAAGCAACCATGATGCTCCCATGTCTCTGCTGGTAGTACGCCTGTTGGAAGTCGTAAATCAACGTTTGCGGTGCCTCGGGAAGCCCTGCAGAAACGCCAGTAAACGTTTCAGTGGCATTTCAAAAGAAAATTTCACCACGCATGTCTTCGCGCAGTGCGGGCCCAAACGAATGGAGTATTTCCAACGGGAAAAGGTAAGTGCTAGTTGGAAATTCCACCACCCACTACCAGGCCGGCACAACGAGGTAGCCTGCCAACATAGTTTTAATTCCCCCTTCTTGCGCAAAATGGTTCCTGCAACTGCCGGATAATAATTCAACATAATTTACCAAGTTTATTGTTTATTTTATTGGAACATTTAGTTACGCAAATACCTTGCCATTATGTGGTACTAACGTATGTTTTTTGTTTGCAGATTTTTGGTATTTTGCTGTGCAGCCCTGGTTACCGCGCAAACTGAGTTCTCTTGTTTTGATTTTGATAAATGAAAAGAAAACCCAAGAGGCAGCCGCAATGAACTATTTTCCAAACTACTACTCGATCGAGGATATATATGTGACCCAGGAGAAGGTCGATTGCAAGGTCAACACTAAGCTGCAGCGCATGGGTACGTAAAATGAGATTTGAATTGGAATTTTGTTGCATTTTCTTGTCTTGCAGGCTTTTTGGATGCCGGTGCAGAAGGTGACGACCTAGAGCCGGGACGTACCGTCAATCTGCCGATGTGGTATATCAAGGAACTGAAGGTGAACAATGCCTACTTCACCGTCTCCGTGCCGGATATCTACAAGAATGTGCACAAGGCCGTCTGCGAGGCGGAGACGACGCACATCGAACTGGGGCGTCTGCATCCGTACTTTTACGAGTTTGGCCGCTATCTGACGCCCTACGATCGCAACCATGTCATCGGGCGCATCATCTTTGAGACGATGCGGCAGCGTGTGCGCCACTTGCTGGACATATCCAAAAACGATGGACACATGGCCAAGTCCGAGCTGCGACTGGACAACATCGAGGCGAAGCTGCACGAGGCGGGTGTGCGCACCAATACGCAGGTAAATGAATGATCCTCAAAACCTTTCTTCATGCTCTAATCAATCATCATTTACTGCTTGCAGTACATCAACTGGCTGCAACTGACGGGCAATAAAATTATCATCTCCGAGCTGGTGGAGGAGCATCAGAAGAAGCGAAAACGTGAACTCTGCGATGATGATGAGAGCGATAGTCTGCCCAGCAGTAAACGTGCCACACTGTGACTGCCGAAATAATAAGTCATTTGTTGGGATGTTTTTGTTTGTTTGAAACGTTTTAGCAATTTTATTCTGTAACTCGACGGCCTGCAGTGCATGCTGCCCAGAGCAGATCACAGACACACACACACACACACGCACACACACAAACAAATGCTTCATTGTGCCACAAAAATACATTCGTTCTACATATGCACAGACATCCAACATACATAAGCGTGTGTGTGTGTGTGTATAGCGACAGCTGGGATTATTTTTTGTTTTTTAGTTTGTAAATACATTTAGCCAAGCATTTAGCACAGAATGCACACACGGTTAGGTACCATCTACATATGCATAGAAACTGCTGCTGCTGCTACTGCCCGCCGCACCCCACTTCACTTCACTTACACTCTCTCTATCTCTTTCTGTCTGTCTGTCTTCCTATCTATATATGTAACTCTCTCGCTCTCTTTCTGTCTGGCGTTGGCAATAAGCCACACGGAACAACCATCGATCGGTCTTCAAAATCGTACCATATATTGTGTGTGTGTGTATATATATGGGCATATAATAAATATAAATAGGTAACTACATACACATACAATTACAATTTGTCGTAAGCTCAATTAAAACTTTGATTTTGTTACACATTTCCCCCGCAAATAAACCAGAGCACCTCCTCCTGCTCATTCCAAACAGTTATATAGTGTCGTTATGGTAGATATATGTATGTGTGTATATATATATATATATATATATATATATAGATATATAGTTTTGTGCATACTCTCAACTCACCCCAACCCACCACACACATACACTCACACACACGCACGCACGCACACAAGAAACTCAACAATTTGCCTGCCCAAAAGGAAACATTGAACGTGTTTCGTGGTTTCTTTTGGCGGCGTGCAAAACAAATGGAATATAAATCTTACTAATCACTTTGGCTTTTGCAAACATACACATACACATACACATATACATAATATATATTCTTCATAGAGAGGATTAACAAGTTGTTTGTTTATGCAGAACTTAAGCTCGCCTCTCCCGACGGTTCTTTAGTGGGTTTTTCTTTTGCGCTTAACAACATATACACATAGATATATATTTACGTTAGCATAGCAATTATAGAATGGAACAGTTTTAGGGCTGAGGTGGGTTTCATGGGGCATGGGGCAAGGGGCAAGCTCAAGGCATATATTTTATATGTTTCTTCTCTACGCTTCACTTTGGGTTGCTTTTGGTTGGTTTTAAAATGTAATTTAAATTTGATCTTTGTGTGTTCTCCGTTTTGTTTTTTGTTGTTTTAGTACATAATGTCTTTTGTTTAACAACTAAATATCCGTCTGCACGCTCCTGTGTGTGGTGTCCTGTGTGTCTGTCTCTTCGGTATATCCTTGTTCGTACTCGTAATTCGTTGGTTATACGGTTATAG